CCGGATAAACTGAGAAAAAAAGACGCGCTTCTAATCTGCGAGTATAACGGTAATCGTGAGCAAAATAAAGATCGTGAGGAAAATAAAGATCGTGATTTGTACAGAAGATATGTACTGTATCTCTTGACTGGTTTGCAACTTTCTTTCCTTTTAGCACGTCATTGAAGAGCTACAAGAGATCGATGCCACGCAGTTACAACAGCATTGTCCTGCATTTAAAGATGGCTGCCCATTCACCAACCTGGAAGACCAAAATATGAAAGATGCCATTGCAAAATGTCCCGAGTTCAAAAACGGTTGCCCATTTAAAGATGCCAAAAGTTTCGCAGAAGTTTACGAGAAGTTATCCCATGTTCCACATTCCGCTGGACATGAAAGCGAATTATCCGGTACAAAGATGATTGAAATGTTTAAGAAAATGCACGACACCTCTGAATGTCTGGAAGAAAAGTTGGGAGACTGCCCCATATTTCACAAAGATCAAGGATGTCCATTCAAGAGTGTCCGAAATGAGGAAGGCAAACATTTAGCGGAACCAGTTCAGTCCGTTGCTCATGAACAGGTACGTAACTTCAAGTCTGCTTTCCACTAGGTGATTTATAATTAGCGAAAAATCGAAAAAATGTTTCTCTAGATAATCAAATTGCCGAATTCATTGTTCACGCAAACAAGTGCACTCGTTAAAAAACCCCCGGATAAACTGAGATAAAAGACGCCCTTCTAATCTGCGAGTATAACGGTAATCGTGAGCAAAATAAAGATCGTGATTTGTACAGTAGATATGTACTGTATCTCTTGACTGGTTTGCAACTTTCTTTCCTTTTAGCACGTCATTGAGGAGCTACAAGAGATCGATGCCACGCAGTTACAACAGCATTGTCCTGCATTTAAAGATGGCTGCCCATTCACCAACCTGGGAGACCAAAATATGAAAGATGCCATTGCAAAATGTCCCGAGTTCAAAAACGGTTGCCCGTTTAAAGATGCCAAAAGTTTCGCAGACGTTTACGAGAAGTTATCCCATGTTCCACATTCCGCCGGACATGAAAGCGAATTATCCGGTATAAAGATGATTGAAATGTTTAAGAAAATGCACGACACCTCTGAATGTCTGGAAGAAAAGTTGGGAGACTGCCCCATATTTCACAAAGATCAAGGATGTCCATTCAAGAGTGTCCGCAGTGACGATGGCAAGCATTTGGTGGAACCTGTTGTGTCTGTTTCTCATGATCAGGTATACACCGTTTTCAACTATATATAGCATCGATTTTTGAAAATTTTTTTGAAAAACATCAAATAATTATATTAAATCTATGGCCTCTTTCCTAAGAATATATACAGTGTCTAAAATTTAGGTTATTTCTGGACAGTACTGTATGCCTAATGTGCAAAAATAGGTGAAGCCCACAAGAGAATTATTTTGCTGCGTATAACTTAACGAATTCGATTTCCTTTATGCACAGTTGTATGCAAAACTTGCAGGATACAGAGTATTATAATATCGTTTAACGCAGTCGTTTTCAGGCAGACAAATTTTTATGTTCAAAACTGATGCTGGATCTATATATTTTCTGATTTTTCATGTTTTTACCTTTGTTTTGTTGCTGTAGCACGTTATGGAGAAACTTCAAACCGTCGATTCCGTTGACATAAAGCAGAAATGCCCTGCATTTAAGGATGGCTGCCCATTTACAAAGCTAGAAGACAACGATATGAAAGAAGCAATTGAAAAATGCCCGGAGTTCAAAAGCGGTTGTCCGTTTAATAGCGCTAAAAGCCTTGCTGAGGTTTATGAGAAATTGTCCCATGTTCCACATTCCGCTGGACATGAAAGTGAATTATCTGGTCAGAAGTTGATTGAGCTGTTCAAGAAAATGCACGATACTTCTGAATGTCTAGAAGGAAAATTGGGAGAATGCCCTGTGTTTCATAAAGATGAAGGATGTCCATTCAAGAGTGTTCGCGATGAAAAAGGCAAGCATTTGGTGGAACCAGCAGCTTCACTTGTCGCCCCTCTCCAAGAGCCTGTACTTTCCTGTCCCACGAAGACGAAGATCATGACAACAGAGGTAGTCAACTTACAAGAAGCTTGTCCGGCATTTCAACCATCCTGCCCTTTTGCCAACGTTGCCACCAATTCGGATGCATTTAAAAGTGCTCTGAATTGCCCGAAATTCAAGGACGGTTGTGCTTTCAAAGAGTGCAAAAGCTTAAGTGATATCTATTCCAAGCTTGATGAAATCCCTGAAATTGAAGAGGAGCAGGGAAGTCACGGCGAGGTGCTGGGAAGTCTAAAGATGATTCATGAAGTGTGTGTCGAAATGCAGAAGCAGATCGGTGAATGTCCTGTCTTCAAGACCGATGTTGGGTGTCCGTTCAAGACGGTGTGTAGCGATGGCAAGCTCATGATTGCTAAAATTGAAGAAAATTTAACGAGCAGAGTGATCGTTGAAAGCGCACAGGAAGCAGAACAAGAGATTGGAGCTGAACTGTTGTCTTCATCTGGCATTGTTCTCCATCAAGAATTGACAGAAAATACCAAAAGTATTCACAAGAAGACTGAAACATCACCCTTTGTCAGAGGTTTAATTAAAGGCAAAATCGATCCTGCCGGATATAAATTATATTTATCCAACCTATACTTCATTTACAGGTAGCCAAACTTATTATTTGCTTTATACTATTAATGTAAGATAATTGTATATTCTTCAACAAACAACTTAGCCAGTCTAGCCGTACCCCCATAATCGTGAATTTACTCATGCATTGAGTTTTTCGAAAAAATTGCTGACATCGCACAATCAGTTGTTGAACCTTCCGTTCTTGATTCAACTACACGCGTAAAAACGCTCAGGTTGATGCAAGTTGATACAAACAGGATGGAGCAATGTTGTGCTGCCCACATTGTTCAGAGTTGTTATCAACATTGAACAATATTGTTGAAACTGAATCGGGTGTAACAATATTGTTCAATATTGATAACAACTCTGAACAATGTGGGCAGCACAACATGCTTCATCCTGTTTATATCAACTTGCATCAACCTGAGCGTTTTTACGCGTGTAGTACAACAGTACATGCACGCTATTGGTGTAGGTATAATCATGCGATAGCGAATACAATTCGGCATTAACAGTATGAGTGATGTTTGAAAGTTTTGCCAAATTAGAATCGCCCTTTCTTTTTTTATTATGTTAACATAAAACTTTCCGCCATTTTGTTTATTTTGGCAAAATCATTAATTAATTGCAGTCAATTAATGAAATAACTGTACTCCTTTCGACCAAGCAGCATGCGGTAATTTTAGTACGCTAATAATAAACTCCGAAATCACATCTTTTCCGGCTACAACTGCGATGACCCGTGTCAGAAAGATGATTCGAAATCATCTTCTCCATGCATGCAACTTCGTATAGGCTAGTTTGGCGTTTGAACGTGTATGTTCACTACCTTTAATACAGCTTTTTTATTTTTCTCAAATATCCTAACTACGAAATTATATATAGCCTTTCCTGAAAAGAAAATTTATAGATAATTCTTAACATTTCCTAACTATGCTAATCTTAAATTTTTTCTTTGTAAATTGTCTAGCACTTTGGAGGAGGAGGGAGACAAGCACAAATCTCACCCGAAACTCAAGCCCGTTTACTTCCCAACTGAGCTGAGGAGAACACCGAAGATTGTAGAAGATTTGGAATATTTTTATGGAAGCGACTGGAAAGACGAAATCGAACCGCTGGAGGCAACGAAGCGCTACATGGCGCGACTTCGACAGCTGAGCGAAGAAGACCCGATGTTGTTGGTTGCTCACCAGTATATTCGATTCATGGGTGACCTCTCTGGAGGTCAGGTTTTGAAGAAGATCTTTGTGAAAACGTACAACCTCTTTGACTCCAATGGCGTCCAATTCTACGAATTCGATAACATTCCCAAGGTTGGGGAGTTCAAACAGCGGTATCGTCGCGCACTTGATTCGCTGCCGTTGGACAAAGAAGAGGCCGATCGTGTTGTGAACGAGTCCATTAAGGCTTACCATCTTCACATCGAAATGTTTGCTGAGATGGCGGAGCTGTGTGGTATCGAGTCTGACCTTCCAACGAGGATTGAAAGTAAACCCCTAATGAAAAAACCTAGCGCACGACAAACCTTTGAAGAAAAACCGCTTGTGAAGCCGGACCATGCCAGCAATTCATCAAGTGGCGCTCTCTTCATTATTTTGGGGCTGGCCGTGGCCATTTTTGCCATCTTGTATTCCTACTTGCTCTCGTGAACATATAAACGTGCTTAGAAAAACGTTTAGTGAAATAAATCGTGGACCGTTTTCATGTATTGATTATAATTATTTGGGGATTGATATACTGGCTGATCGATTACCTAATTCGATTATACCAAAGTTTGACAACAACTTAGAGTTTTCTTTTTTCTACTTGGAAATTTGAACATAAGTTGATTGATTTAGCGTAAGAATTTAACTATATCTATACTATTTTAAAGCTACTTGGAAATTAGTGATTATTAATAAAATTGGTTCACATAAAGAAAATTGTTTATTATAACAACGCGCATGCATGTACATTATGTATGTGAAAAAACGCAACTCGATTCAACCAAAACTAAATCGCAGCATTTTGAGCTTTAACTCAATCATCCTGAATGAAACTAACTCATAATTTTTAGGAAATAAAATTCCACCAAGCAAAAGTCTAAAATCTGCAGAGTTTGTCAATTGAATTAGCTATTTCTCTAATGAAAGCGCAGTTCGTATCTAGTTGAGTCAGGACCGAACTAAGTTTCGTAGTGAATAATAAAACGGACGAAACGTCCAGTTTTGTTAACGAAATAACTATTAAAACTTAAACTTACTTGTGTTTTATATCTTACATGTTATCCATCCATCGGCATCGGATGCTGCAAATTTATGCAAATAAATACCTTATTTCGAACTCAGGCTACTCAGCACATACCTGAAATAGCTTTTCAGTTGGGTTTTCCCCCGAACAAAAGACACGTATATGACTAGAATTCATTTTGCAAATAAAATCGTTCTCGCGAACATAAAATCGTTATTTAAACTTCGTAGAGGGTAATTGATGCGGGGATGTCCACAGAAAGCGAGGATCGCGTATTACCACCGCCAGAACTCGACTGGATACTTCCAGAAAAGAAGGAAATTGGATCGGAACGTTACGAATGGTTGAGTGATGAGATTCAATCGCGGCTTCCTATTGACATTCTGTTAGTTACTGCAACAGACCACGAATTCAACAGTTGCTACTCGTTTTTGAGACTGAAACCTATTCGTCGAAGTTGGTGCCCTGACATGGGATTGGGATTTGTGGATTTCGGTGAATTCGATTATGGAAATCCGCGAAATACGAATGTGACCGTGGCGCTGATGCGATGCGAAGCCGGACCGCTACCGGCTGTGATTGTTGTCAAAAATGCTACCGAAGTTTTGAAACCCAAAGCTGTGCTTTTCGTCGGAGTGTGTGCCGCCCTCGACCGGGAGAAGGCAAAACTCGGCGACGTGATAATTTCGGCGAAATTGGCGAATCACGCGTTTAAGAAAGTCAAGGACGACGGCAAATACGAGCATCGTGGTTTCAAAGAGAACGTCAGCAGGAATATGGCAAAGCTTATTCTGTCTGCAGACCATGGTTGGGAGCCACCTATTAAAAATAAAAGTGGTTTTCATCCCAAAGTAAATAAGAAAGCTGTAATGTTGAGTGGTCCTGAGTTGATTGACTACGACAAAAGACGGTTACAATTGCTGGAAGATTTTCCAGACGCTGATGGTCTCGAAATGGAGGGTGAAGGTAGGTTACTTTGACGTATACGTAATTTTAATACTGAATAATGTGGCAAACTCTTTTGGGTGACTAATTCTATATGCATCTTTTTGAGTCACTATTTTCTTTGAGCAACGTTTGCATATTCAAATCGCATTGTGCATGTGAAAAGCGAATATGATCGAGCAGTTTTGTTTAAGAATATAAGAAGCGTACAATTGTCTAATGACAGCTATTGGCAACGTAAATCGATCCTTTCAACGTATTGTTCTTAATCTTCCATCAGGTGCAAGGACGTATTTTCATTATTCGACAATTCCTTGTCCGCATTATTCGACAATTCCTGATCCATAATCTTGTATGCTATTTTTTCTCTTCTGTTTTCTTTAATTTAGGTTTGTTTGCAGCGGCATATGATCTTGGTATAGAGTGGGCTGTTATAAAAGGTGTGTCAGATTTTGCAGATGGGAGTAAAAGAGCTACAGAAGATTGGCAACCATTTTCCAGCGCAATGGCTGCGTCTCTGGTTTACAACATGTTCAAGTCCCCTGATGTGACAAGATATTGGCCGCATTATCAAAAGACAGAAGGTATAGGTAACTCTTATTCAGACAGTCTTGATATAGGCCTAATTCGTTTTCAGGTCGTTTGCTACAATTTTTTAAGCAAAACCGAAGGTTTACGCTGTAAACGTCCACTGGTAAGAAGAATAAATTGGGTCAGCTAAGAAGAATAAATTGGGTCAGCTAAGAAGAATAAATTGGGTCAGCTAAGAAGATTAAATTGGGTCAGCTAAGAAGATTAAATTGGGTCAGCTAAGAAGATTAAATTGGGTCAGCTAAGAAGGTGTCGAGTGGCACCAACCGAGTTTTGACTTTCATTGATTACGTGTTTTCTCGCTCCTGTGAGAATATCATTCCGTATATTACGTCACTGCTATCATTCTGTTAGCTTTCTGGCTGCCTCCTCGTATTGACAATCGGCTTACTTGTTTGGTACGTGCCCTTTTCGAAGTCACTGCCAGATTTTCTTGAAAGGGGCACGTGCATGTAGCCAGCACACGCGATGACAGTTAAGCTCTCTTTTGAGCTTTGTTATGTCATTTACACAACCAACTCAGTCTTGAAGTTATAATTTGATTGATTTTGTTTGTTGCTTCTCTGCTATTCAGTAGCTGTCACTCGGACATCGCTCTCATTCCGTATGCTTTCTGGCTTTCTTCTCGTATTGATAATTGGCCTACTTGCTTGTTACGTGTCATTTTGGAGGCCATTGCCAGATTTTCCTGAAAGGGGTACGTGCATGCATTGTACATTATCAGTACCTGGGAATGCGGTCTGAAGTGACTGCAAGACACGACGGTAGTTATGTCATTTACATATATAGTCAATAATTTTGTTTGTTGCTTCTCTGCCATTTAGCTGTCACTCCGACACCTCTCTCAATCCGTATGGTTGCTGGCTGTCTTCTCGCATTGATAATTGGTTTACTCGTTTTGTATGTGTTCAGTCCGATGCCGCCGCCACATATTCCTGAAAAGAGTACGTCATTACTATTATTTTAAGTGATCAAGGGTGAACATTAGTACCTGGGGTAGAGTTCAAGGCAATTTAATCATTATATTTGGTACTGGTTTATCTTTAATAGTGAAGACCCCGCCAGGTCCATAGCACTGAGCTATATAATAATTCCTGGAGGACCGGCTCGCGGCCAAATCGTGTCCGCAAAAACATGGCGGATTTTGAGCTTTGCTGACGCCACATGGTTCCTTTTGCTCATGGTAGTTACCACTGACATACCGCGATACAAGGTGAAAAACTGTGTCCATCTCCCCCCTGGTTTTTATGAAAATATTTTCGGCTTTCGGTATATATTTTTTGTATTTCATATAAATCCTGTTTTTTCCTGTTCAACAAATGGAAAGGAGACGTAGCTTTGTGCTCTATATGTCTGACGTTGTGAATGGCTTAATTCACTTATCGGGGGAATGATTTTTCTCATTCGGCTTTTATTTTATGGCATCCAGGTAAGCCGGGTTTTTATATTAAAAAACAATTTCAGTTTTTTGCCTTTGGACTCGAATATAAACTGATTACCAAAGGTTCTGAGCCATATAAATCCATCAAAACTTATGGTACAAACAGCAAATATACTATTTTAGACCTTTGGTACATGTGCAATGTTATATACTCAAACTTTATCATTTTCTTGACTTGTGTGGGGAAGGAATTATTAAAATTCCTAGCAATGTCAATCTTTGAGTTTGGTCTATTTTGTTTTCATGATAGCAAACAATAATGTAAATAGGTAGGCCTTCCCCCCAGTGAGTCCATTAGATTTATTAAGCAATAATTAACATGATCTAACTGACAAAAGTGCTGAGTGGGTGCTGATACAAAGTAATAAGATTTTTGCTGCAAACAGTGTAAATTTCAACCTCTGATGATGGTGACTGTTAAAACCTAGTTAATATATTATCTTGTTTGCCTTGTCAAATTCAAATCAATTATCACTGGCTTATATTAATTGATTTTTTAACTTCTTGCACCTTGTGAATAAAACTTGATCAGATCTCCATTTATATTTTTCAGGATGAAGATGCTATGAAATAAAGCAAGTTAGAGGTGGCTTATTAATTAATGAAATAAAGCAAGCTAGAGATGGCTTATTAATTAATTGTCATGCAATTTGTTGGAACATTGAACTGAGATGTATTAAGCATATTATACACATTGTTATGAATCTGCATTGTTATCCTTGATTACCATGTTATCTGATTTTGTTTTGGCTGGTATTTTTATAACCATTGTTATATTTATAAAAGAAATAAATATAAACATGCATTGTGTGAGCAGTGTATCTTCAATCTGCAGCCACTTTTATAATTTTCTGTTTATGGTATCAAACTTCAAGAGGGCTAAATTCAATGGGCTAATCAGGAGTAATTGAGTCTATGGAGGGATGAATATTGTTCATTAATAAGACCAGGGTCCAGGGGTGCAATTAGATAATATTGAAAACTTTTATAGCCCATTGAGGTACAATTAAGCTGATGACCTTACTGAAAAGTATATTATGCAAAAATGACTCATGGTTGAAACTATATTCTTGCACTTAGTCAGCTGCCAAGCATTTTGCCCCTGAGCTTTGGCCTCTGTTTCTTTGGATTATACCTAGATATATTGTCCTGAAGACATTCAAGACCATTCAAGAAAACATTATTAATTGCATACTTTCAGTAATTCTGCTGTTCATGCAGGGTTCAAAAAAGTCTAATTGATGTCCATAAATATCCAATTGTCCCCAAAATGTCCGACAATAGTGCCAAAAAGTTCAAGCATTTGTTATAGGAATGTAGAAATAATGAAAATATAAAAAAAAACACCTGTCACGGCTGTCAGTTCGTGTCAGAATTTTAAAATCTTCAATTTTGTCCACAATTTTTTGACGTTTTAATATATATTTGTTCTTGCGTTGGCAATAACAGCGTCTACGACTTGTATTCATCTTAAAAAAACGCTTTATATTTCAAAAAAATGCAATTAATGATGTTTTTACGACTTTATATTTCAAAAAAACAAAACAAGTTTTCACGGGAAATTTTTTTTATAAAGGCCAGGGGGGAGAACTTGTTGTTTACTAAATCCAGGGGGGAGAACACCCTTGTAGCGGGCTCATAATTGAGCCCGGTCAGTGGTAAATACCATAGCCAAAAGGAACCATGTGGCGTCAGCAGAGCTTCTGCGGTTGCGCAGAAGGGCGAAGTCCGCCATGTTTTTGCGGACAAAAAGATGGCGGCGAAGTTACCGAAAAATGACGAGCCGGTCCTCCAGGAATTATTATATAGCTCAGTGGTCCATAGGCGTCCTTTCCAATTCGAATATTACGAATTTCACTATAAATTCCTTTATAGTTACATCGCCGCCTGTTCCGACAAATCCACCGTTTACCCCTATTGAACAATTTCTTAGGGGCATTGCTGGTACAAAGGAAGGAAGAGTATGTATATACATAAATTATGGAAGTTTGCCCTGATAGCATGTTATCTGACAGATTTTTACTTCTGAAACTACTGAGTTCTCAGCCCAGTTCCCATTGACTCGTTACCTGTCGTTACCACGGCAATAAGCCACTGGATTATTCCGGGGGTTAATATATTTCTGTGATCAGACAACATCAGACAACAGACAAGATTATTTCATATCTAGCATATTCTGTGGTAGGTAAAAACCAAGGCAAATAGCATCTAACTCCTAAAATCCTTTCAGATATTGTGATTGCGTAATTCTGCATTTTAGCTAATTCGCAAAAAGCCTTCACGAGGGATGTGTTGTTTTTTATACACAGAGAGAATATAATGGTCGCATGATCGAGTACTCAGTTTCAGGAAGAGTTTTTTCATTTAAAGAACCTTGGGTGTACGATGGGACAGCAAAAGATGTTGAATCTGGTGTATTTGCAAAGAAGAAGCATTTTAAACATGCAGACGAAGCTATTAATGCAGCAATTGAAGAATTAGTCAAAAAGCTTAAGGAACGCAAGATCTTGCAAGATCAATCAACATAAGAAAGTCAATCGAAAATTTTTTATGCTTCACATTCGACTTTCAAACTCGTCCCGACTTTTACAATTTAATTACAAGCTGAGTATAAATGCAACTGTTTCCCATCAACCTTAATTAAGTTAAAAGTCTATAATGCAGGTAACTATTATTAGGCTACAGGTAACTGTGTTATGATTTTATTAGCTACGATATTTTATTTTTTTTTAAATGACAGTCCATGTAATTGTCCATTTTCATGGCAGCATTTGACACCGATTTGTTCAATGGAAATTCTTGTTGCATGTTTTATGACTGATGTAAACTCATGCTTGCCTCAAGAGGCTAAAGCGGACTATACTCGAAAAGGACTGTCGAGGTGAAGTTCGAAAAGATTGTTAAACACCCAGCAATGGTAACTTGTGCAAAATAAGGCCACCGGAACCAGGGCAGGGAATCTTAACCTTTTTACCAAGGTTTATCGGTCATTTTAATATCAATTGCTTTATTTCTAGTACTGTATGTCTGTATTATAATATTCCTTTCACTTTTTGGCTAGTTTTTGATGATTCATTTGTACTGAATAGTACTGTACTATTATTACTGAGTTAGATCTGGGATTTATTATTTAGACTAGGCCATCAATTTAAATAAAAATAAGAAAAGGATATAAATCATATAATTATGCACCGGAAAATAACGAGGGGAATTGCGATAGTATAACCGGTAAATGAACTTGCGGAACCGCCATAAATTATATTAAGATAGGTAGTGCTGAAGCAGGCTTCAATATCATGACTTGCATTGAATGATATTATACCGTTGACTTTTCCAAAATAACAGGAAGTCCAGCTGAAGTATTAGGCTTTCATAAGCTGTATGCATGTGCATCAGTGCATGGCGTTACATATAAACCAGAAATATTCAGCGTTCCCCTTTTGTATAGCTATGCTGATTACAATTTTCCAAACTATATATTGAAATCCCAATTCCCAAGAGCTAAAAACTTTCTAAACCTAATCGTATCTATCGCCCTCTAATTTTAACATGATTATAGCTACAATCAGGTTCATCAAATTTGATACATGAGGAAAACCAAATTGCCACCTTTTTACCCAGTTTAAACTGTTTCGTTATCTCCATAACCTGCAGTTTACCTACAGGGTGTATCAAAAAAACTGCAAATACCATAATTTGTATGCCGGCACGACATTAGAATTTCAATGACTGTGCAACTGATTACGCTTCTGGGATTTGAAAATACGTTTCCCAGGGTTATCAAAACAAGCATACAAAGTGAATTAAACTTATGAGTTCGATTACGAATGGCTCAGTTAAGAACAGAACTAAGATCCCAGAAGCGTAATTAGTTCAGTGCACAGTCATTGAAATTTTATGGTATTTATACAAATGATGGTATTTGCAGTTTTTTTTATACACCTTGTATAGATAAAAATCATACCCCGAAATGCATAAGCCTAAAATTGGGCTCGTGCATGAATATCTAAATGAATAAGTTTTTCAAATTAATGTTCACTATTTCGGGATTATATATATATAACTGTTCTAGTAAATTTGTTCGCCTCAGACTTTCCGACGGACTTATACGTATACACGAATGTGTTATTCAACTCTGGCATATGTTAAAGATTTACCGGCTCATCAGGTAATTCAGGTTACCAAGGTGAATCATCATTAACGGCAGTTGTATTGTGTCGTGGTTCCTTTCACCTCTTGTCGTGTAACAGCGGAGGACCGAAAATCCTTGGCATTTTGGTTAACAAACGCAGAGAATACTCGAGATATTACACACAACAGGTGAGTAAAAATACGGTTAACATGCGTGATCTTATGTAGGAGAGGGTTGTGTTTGTCACACAACTGTGTCTTATAGTATAGGATCGATATTGACATCTTCTTGTCTTTCAGCGTATGCTAATATTCAGTTATATATGAACGTGATATGTCTTATATTGTATAACTAAACGCATTAACTGCCATTGGCATTGGGAACTTCTATCTGAGAGTATAAGTTTCATGTTTCGACGTCGCTATACCTATGAGATCGAAAACTGCATTTTGAATAGAAGCATATGGCTGTCTCGTGTTTGTGTCTATTTTTGAACGCATTTACATATTTGTGTTTGTTTCGACGAGTATTATATAACTACATATTCGACCGGTAACGATTTTTTGCACAGATTTTCTTGCCACAACACCACAGGCCCTCTATATGTCTTAGCAAAACTTTGCAAAACTGAATGTGAGGTCTAAATGTCTATTAATTTCAAAGGTCGACATTGTTGCCTATTGTATTATAATACTAGCTATATTGGAACCTCTGCACTATACTCTGTCTATAGTAATAAAGAGCATGGCCATTTGGGTTTGCATATGAAGCCGGTTATAGTGAATATAGTCTTTCATGTTATATGTCACGATTGATTCGCTTGCCATTGAGAACAAGCGAATCTTGAATGCTTTAGTAGGAATCAGACAATTGTATCTAGTTGTACGGTACTTTATATCAGAATTCATTGTCGACACTCGCGAAGTACACGAAGAATATTTTTACTGACACACACTTAAGCAATTTATGCACCAGGTAAAACGAGCCGCACGGTACGCACTTATCCCTTGCGTACGTGCTCTACTAGATTCACTAAAGTCAATGACCTCAAACACTGATCTAATGCTTTTTCTGTTATATATTTGCGTTGTCTAATGTCTAGTCCAACATTCATATATTCAATTCAATTCCATACATGAACATATCATATATTCCCGTCGTTGCTCTTTGAGATCGCCTAGCTCGTATTGTACAGAAATCTATGAAGGGTGATTTGACGCGCAATTCATCTCTTGGCGATCACAGCAGAAGTGACAGGACCACTTGTTGTGCTGAATTTACGTCAAAACAATTAGAACATTCACGTGAACGCTTCATGCAACATATCCTTCCAATTAATGAATGAGGCCAGAAGATTCGGATTTTTACCTCATGCTATTCCGGGAAAATTTGTTTAGAAGGTTTGCGGCAAAATGTAGAATTTGGCTCTGTGGTATATAATTTTTTGTTCGAATTTTTTACCCGGTAACATACAACGCAAACAAACAAATCAATCAACAAGCCTGGAACCAATCAAAAAGCGGCTCAAGGCATCCACTACGTAGGCCAGCAAAGCATCAGATAGAAAGAATAGTGGTTTATTTTGGAATAAAATAAAATAAAATGAACAGTATTGGTGCAGCAAGAAAAGCTGCTGCATGCAATTAAGAAAGGGTGAAGCTCCGCTCCCATTATTTCTCAAATGGAACCTACATGCAGTTCCTCGATCGTTGGAGCCAGTGAAGTCCATGATTTTTCACAACGTTCCTGGTTTATTCACGAATCGTGATCTTTAGTTCTCAACAGACAATTTGCATCAATACACGCATATGTTTCGCTACTATACAGGGTGCCCTGTACATCCTTGGTACACCCTGTACAGGGTGTCCCAAAAAAAACGAAAACTATTCAAATCACTCATTGTTAAAATTTGAATGCCGTGTTCACGAATTTCAGCCCGTGGGGATTTAATTCAACTTATAAAATGCTAAATGCTTTGTGTTGCTAGAGATAGGGGACATGTCGAAGGACATGGTCCTTGAGATGCACATTAAAATAATGTTATCCATATTTGTAAATTGTAAATATTGTTAATAAATATCATTTTTGCGAACAAGCAAATTTGACTGCATCACATGCATGCATAAAAATGCTTATGGCAACCCCGATTTATACACATGTGGGCCCAACAGAGTGCTTAGGCATTCAAACTCTAACAATGGCATTGTTATGGGTGATTTCAATAGTTTTCGTTTTTTGGGGGACACCCTGTATGTTTGGCTTGCTCTCCGTCCATTTTAGACAGTCAATAGTATACAGCAAAATTATTCATACATGAGCGGAGGAGACATATGATTGAGAACCCCTCTGTTCTTTGCACCAGACCAACGGCTATCACGGACGTATCTCTCTCACATAAATCACCCCCCCCCCCCTTGACTTCCCTCATTATATTGTGATACCGGCAATAGTTCTGGGTCAATTTTGCATAGTATTTGTGCGAGTAAATTCGTGCTAGATTGTGCATAAATACACGTCTAGAAAATTTTTACTGCGTCGCGCACTGCGCGAACGCAGTCTTAAATTGCCGTCGGTGTTTTGTTTTTTGTTGTTTTTTTTGTGTTTTTTACGTTTTCGACCCGGTCTACCTGGCCGCGCAGGCCATCTAAGATAGTCGTATTTTGAACTCGTTTGATTTCGTATCGAAATATTTTCGTGCTAAACACACTTCAAATAGTAATCTAAGCCTAGTAACCCCCACAAAAGAAATATTTTACTGAAATAAAAATTGAAAAAGTTTGTTGTCGCCGGGATTCGAACTCGGGTCGTGCGAACCAAAAGCAGGAAACAGCATGCACGATACACGTCATATAAAATAACACGTACACGAGTCGCTGTGCATGGCCGATAGCGCAGGAAATCTAGACGTCTGTCGTTCGAGAAAATACGTACAGGTAATCATAATGCTGGGACTTGTCTTGTTTGATATGCTCACTCTGCATACACTAGCACACACTGATCATGGTAAACCTGCACTAAAACGGGTTTACAGACAACGATCACATGAATCATGAAAGCCTTGTATGCCATGAAAGCCTTGTATGCTATGAAAGCCTTGTATATACCATTCTATGCCATTTTTCAATCAAACCGCACTTTCCTTTAAAGGGTAAAAACGGCCAGACCGATCCTATTGAATTTCAGTACAAACTGATTCCCAGAGTACATGATTCCAAACTCAGCCTTATTCACGTATATCGTTAGCTACATATGCCTAGCACCTATAATGCAGTTTTACCCGTATATTCTGTACGAAGTGCTCTATTTACTAGAAAACCTAAGAAAGAAACATTTTTCTAAAGGAATAAATATTGACAGGAAATGGGGCACAGTTGCATGCAACGATTGGCGCGACGCAGTAACCGCCAGAATTGGCGTCTTGTTTAAATTTAGAAAATGATTATATGTTTTAACTTTTCAGAAAAATGGCAGAAGAATTGGAAGTTGTGAAAACAGATCACCTTGATAAAGAATGTCCGGCATTCAAAGAAGGTTGTCCGTTTTCTAAAGTGGAAGATAAGCAGATCAAAGATGCAGTTGAGAAATGTCCTGAGTTCAAAACCGGATGTCCATTTAAAGATTCCAAAAGCCTTGCTGAGGTTTACGAGAAGTTATCGCATGTTCCACATTCAGCTGGACATGAAAGGGAATTATCTGGTCAAAAGTTGACTGATATGTTTAAGAAAATGCACGATACGTCTGAAAGTCTGGAAGAAAAGTTAGGAGATTGTCCTGTGTTTCACAAACAGCAGGGATGCCCATTTAAAAGCGTCCGTACTCACGACGGCAAGCGGTTGGCTGAACCGGTTGAATCCATCGGCCATGACGAAGTAAGCGATATTAAGTGCATGGCTTCGGATTATTTAAATACCTTTTTTGCTTTAGCTTCAGGTGTAAAGGTATCTTTTAAAAGGACTTTTAAAAGATAAGATTATGTTTCAGTTCTGAACGTGATATTTGAGTAC